TGCTGTCGCTTCATATAACGAGCCTCTGTCAGAAAGTAGGTCGCATTAATGGCGAGGTTTGAGGGCACTAGTTAATAACCAGAGGAGACACGGTTGCACCAATCCTTCTAATAAACTGTAAATATAACAGAGTTTTATAACATTCGGGAGCTGGATGTCAGATTCTTCATATCAGGAGCTACACGTCTTGACATCTACTGTGTGCAATACTGTATTATATTGTTTACAATGTAAACACTGTAGCCTAAATATATCCGTCTCAAAATAATAAAAAGAGAGTCTATGTTTTATATAGCCTGGTTATTAGTTTATTGTTCACTACAAACCGCAAAGTTGTTATTACTAAAACAATCAAGTGGTCATATTTAAGCGTTACATGAAATGTCATGAAATTAAACTTCTTTAGTTTCTATTCCCATAAATTCAAGATTTTGCATCTGTGTTTAGATATTTATTTTGGTAACACTTTATTTCGATAGTCCACTTTAGACATTCTATTAACAGTAAGTAACTTTGCAACTACATGTCAACTAGCAGTTAGTAGAGTATTAGTAGACTGTCTGCTTAATATCTTCTAACACTTTCTTTGTCAACATTCTACTAACCCTAAACCTACCCTAACAGTCTACTCTGAGAGTTAGTAGACATGTAGTTGACATGTAGTTACAAAGTTACTTATAGTTAGTAGAATGTCTAAAGTGGACTATCGAAATAAAGTGTAACCTTTATTTTTAGTTTAAGCTGCTGTTTGTTTTTGTTTTTCTTAAATGTATTCCTCGAAAGTTATTCAAACGTGTTGGAATATTGTCTGGTGCACTAGCGTAGATTTAGTACACGCACACAATAATGTGTTCACTAAACTTGAGTTCAGTGACTCTGACGTTAACAGAAGCAGCAGCAGCACAAGATTTAACCAACAAAATCAAAATTACTGTGATGTCTGTTTTCTACATAGTACACATAGTGTTTCTACACCCCACTTACTGTTACAACAAACATATATAGCAGGACAAGAGCATTTTTCATAAAGCTACATAAGATATTAATATATTTCCCAGAAATTCCAAGCCTCATTTCTCCCAAGGGTTTCTCTCTCTCTCCATTTCTGTCTCCTGGTGGAGTTTTTATTTTTTTTTGTCATGCTCAGTGGGGCTCAATGATAATTAATACTGAGTAAAATGAACTGATTTATTTGTACAGGAAACTACTGAATGAGGTCACTGAATAATTGAATTGAATAATGCTTCTGCAGGACCATTTATAGCTGAAACTGAGTGTGTAATTTAAACTCAAATGACTGATTTCCGATTGAAAACATTTACATCACTGACGCTTTTCTCGTTTACTGCTTAAAAGCTGCTTTGAAACACACTTGACCATTAAGAATCAAGTGTATGTAAACTCTGTGAAATAACTAAATAAAAAACAATGTGCAATTTCGCAGATTTAGCAAGGTTAATGTAAACTTGTGAACACAACTCTGTGTGTGTGTCTTTGAACTTCTGCATTGCAAATATGTGACCCTGCACCACAAAAGCAGTCTTAAGTCGCTGGGGTATATTTGTAGCAATAGCCAACAATACATTGTATGGGTCACAATTATACATTTTTCTTTTATGCCAAAAATCATTAGGATATTAAGTATCTAAGTATGTTCCATGAAGATATTTAGTAAATCTCCTACCGTAAATATATCAAAACTTAATGTTTGATTAGTAATATGCATTGCTAAGAACTTCATTTGAACAACTTTAAAGATGATTTTCTCAATATTTAGATTTTTTTGCACCCTCAGATTCCAGATTTTCAAATAGTTGTAATTTCGAAAAATTGACTCTTATGACTGGTTTAGTGGTCCAGGGTCACATTTAGCAATTACAATTCAGCAAAATCTGCAATGAATGCAGCTCATGTGCTTTACAGAGTTTAGTTTAGATTCATTCACACTCAAAGCTAATCAGGTTCTGTATTCACGTTGAGGTAAGAGGCTGATGCTTCAGTGTCAGTGCCATCTTCACTGGAGTGTAAGGTGCTTTCAAACCACATCTGAGTCTGAGTCTGTTTGTGTAACATGCTGCCCTACTTAGATGCCTTCATGTGGGTGTTTCTGAAGGCTCATCACCTCACCGGACGTCCCGAGGTTGAACAGAGTGTACCAGTGAGGGCTTCACCGCTCCAGCCAGAAGAAAGCCTCTTGAGCACGGCCTGAGTTACCTGAGACGCTCATAACCTCCTGCGTTTCTCACTGAGAGTGGTCAGATCTTGGCATGATCAGTGTGTATCTCAGCTCACTGAAGTCACTTCCACATCATGCTATAACCATAATTAGGTGCTGATCATAATTAACAACATTCTTTGAGCAGTAGAAACAGTCCTTCTATCCAGAAGCTCTTTGTGAAATTGGCCAAACAAGATGTGAGATATCCACATACTAAATGGCACTAGTTCTAGATGTAATCTGTAAATGTACCAATTCGATGGC